TTTATTATGTAGATTAATCTGTTCCATGCAAATTCAAACATAATAGCAGAAACTGACATATTGGTAAATGTCGCTTAATTTTTGCTTAGAAAAATGCTCATAGAATTTTAAAAAACAAAGATATGATCAGGAAAATCTCTAGGTTTTTGATGATTTCTATACCCTACTACTCAAGTCTGCTTATTATTTCTGTTTCTCTGACTTAATATTTCCTGGAGGCTTTACTTCAACAGAAAACATAATCCAGTTAAAATTCTGAAATAATACTATAGTTAACTTCTATGTTATTTTCTGTCTTCTTCATTTGGTTTTACTAAAGACAAATGAACCTCATCCTTGCACTAATTCAGAAGCATAGTCTATGCCCTGATGTAGAAAACTGCCATTCATTGAGTATTCAATAAATTTTAATTAGTGATTAAATAAGTTATTTATTCACCAACTTTGCAATTAATCTGAAAATTTAAGTTTCAATTTAGTGGACTTCCACTCTGGAAGGTGGAAAAGAGAATGGAGTTACCTTTTCACCTACAACAATTTAAAAAATGGACAAAATCATATGAAATTGCTCACATAATTCACAGAATGTATAACAACAGTTCACACAAAATGTTGTATATCAGGAAATCAAGGGCAGTAATTCCTAAGAAGAAATAAGTGGTGTGAGTTCTATGATTTTCCCAGCTTACTACCTTGAGAGAGTTTTATGGCCACAGCACAGAGATAGGAAACCCAGGTAAAGCCCAGTGAAAACCCTATGGCCAGGAGATAAAGCAGCCAGAGAAAGCAAGGAAGCTATGGAGTGTGCAAGACCTAGTATTGGATAGAAAAGAGGTGCACAGAGAGAGAACTTTATAAAGATCTTCAGAGGGTCCCCCTGAGTACTCAGTACACGTGTGAGGAAACTTCTTAAGGATGGGGAAAGATACACATGAAAAAATTAGAGATAACAGTATTCAGTGTTCACCTAGAACTGGGAGCAATGAATGTTCCTATCAGCCATGAAAGCCTCATTTTTCATGGACATGGAGTACAGTACAAAGAAAGATCTCACTACATAAAGGGGAACAATTAGCCCCGAACTGAGCACTGTCCTTGTTCCATCTAACAAATCTTAAAAGCAAGACCCAAAAGAATCAAACTGTTTCCAAGTAACTTACCTGCATCCCAAAACAAAGCTCAAGAAGATTTATGATTTATAGGAATACAAAAACATCAAGCACCCAACCAGGTAAAATGCACAATACCTTGCATCTAATTAAAAATTTGCAAACATGCAAAGAAAATACAGGGCTATATAAGCCATAATGAGGAGATAATCAATCAAAATTGAACCAGAACTGACACAGATGTTTGAATTAGAAAAAAATGAAATGCAAAGTTATTTTAACTATATTCTGTGTGTTCAAAAAGTTAAGTAGACATTTAAAAACCCAAATTGAACTTTTCAGGATGAACACTACAACGTGTGAGGTGAAAAATATGCTGGATGAATTAACAACAGAGTAGATATCGGAGAAGAAAAGATTAGTGAACTTGAAGATATAACAACAGAAATTATCCCAAATCAAACACAGAGAGAAAAGATAATCATAATAAGCAGGGCATCCGTGAGCTGTGCAACAACTCCAATGTATGTAATTGGAGTTCCTAAAGGAGAGAAGAGAGAAAAATAAAACATATTTGAAGAAATAATGGCCCAAAGTTTTCTAAATTTGCTGAAACTTATAAACGTACACATTCAAGCCGCTCAATGAACCCCAAGCACAGAAAATAAGAAGAAAACTACACATGGCACATCATGATAAAACTGATTAAAACCATTGATAAAGAGAAAAACCCTAAGGACAGAGAAAAAACAGAGATGCTAAAAATAACACAGACAGCCAAGTTCTCACCAGAAACAGGAAGAGACGGGGTGGAGTCACAGCTCCAAGATCCCGAAATTTATAGAGAAAAAATAAGTATCTCGAGTAGAATTCTATACCCGGAGAATATCTATGAATAAGAAATAAGAAATAAGAATAAGAAATAAGAAATGCTTTTTAGATGTTCAAAGTGGGAATAATTCATCCCCAGCAGACCTGCGCTGTAAGAAATGCTGAAGGGTATCTTGCAGGCAGAAAGAATATAGATAGAAATATAGAAACACATAAAATAATTACGTGAATAAATATGTTTTGTTTGTTTAACTTAAATGCTCTTAAAAGATAACTGAGAGGCTGGGGGTGGGGCCTAGGCCGGAAGTGGTGGGGCCTAGGCCAGAAGGGGCGGGGCCTAGGCCGGAAGGGGCGGGGCGAGAAGGTGGCTCGCCATTAAGGGGCAAAGGTTGCGTTGTGCGGCCTCGCGTTAGGCGGCCATAGCCACCGCGCCTGCGCCTCGTGACCCTGACGTGCTGCGCGCCCCGCCCACCAACGCCGCCGTCGCCCGGGAAACCGGTAGCGGCGCTGCCGGAGCGGAGCTGGTGGTGTCATGGCGGCCCCGAAGGAAGCAGCGGCCGGGCCGTTGGTGGGCGCCGTGGTCCAGGGCACCAACTCCACTCGCTTCCTGGTTTTCCATTCGAAAACGGCCGAACTGCTCGGCCATCACCAAGTGGAAGTGACGCAAGAGTTCCCCAGAGAAGGGTGGGTGGAGCAGGACCCGAAGGAGATCCTGCAGGCCGTGTACGAGTGCATCGCCCGGACGTGCGAGAAGCTCCGCCAGCTGCACGTGGACGCGTCCCGCATCAAAGCCGTGGGCGTCAGCAACCAGCGGGAGACCACGGTGGTGTGGGACCGGCTGAGCGGGGAGCCGCTCTACAACGCCGTCGTGTGGCTCGACCTGAGGACGCAGGCGACGGTGGAGAGTCTGAGCAGGAGGATCCCGGGCAACAACAACTTCGTCAGGTCCAAGACGGGCCTGCCGCTGAGCACCTACTTCAGCGCCGTGAAGCTGCGCTGGATGCTCGACAACGTGGCGGCGGTGCGGAGGGCCGTGGAGGAGGGCCGGGCCCTCTTCGGCACCCTGGACTCGTGGCTCATCTGGAGCCTGACGGGCGGCGTGCAGGGCGGCGTGCACGGCACGGACGTCACCAACGCCAGCAGGACGATGCTTTTCAACATCCACTCGCTGCAGTGGGACCGGGAGCTCTGCGACTTCTTCGAGGTCCCCATGGACATGCTTCCGGACGTCTGGAGCTCTTCTCAGATCTACGGGCGCATACGAGCGGGGGCCCTGGAAGGCGTGCCCATATCCGGGTGTCTGGGGGACCAGTCTGCTGCGCTGGTGGGACAGATGTGCTTCCAGGAAGGACAGGCCAAAAACACGTACGGGACGGGCTGCTTCCTGCTGTGCAACACGGGTCGTAAGTGTGTGTTCTCTGAACACGGGCTCCTGACCACAGTGGCTTACAAGCTAGGCAGGGACAAGCCCGTCCATTACGCACTGGAAGGTTCTGTGGCCATAGCTGGTGGCGTCATTCGTTGGCTCAGAGACAACCTTGGCATCCTAGAGACCTCGGAGGACATCGAAAAACTTGCAGACGAAGTAGGTACTTCCTACGGCTGCTACTTCGTCCCAGCTTTTTCAGGGCTGTACGCGCCTCATTGGGAGCCCAGTGCAAGAGGGATCCTCTGTGGCCTCACTCAGTTTACCAATAAATGTCATATCGCTTATGCCGCACTGGAAGCTGTCTGTTTCCAGACGCGAGAAATTTTGGAGGCCATGAACCGTGACTGTGGAATGCCACTTCGTCATTTGCAGGTGGACGGAGCGATGACCGCTAACCACGTTCTGATGCAGCTCCAAGCAGATATTCTGCATATCCCCGTGATAAAGTCCCCCATGTCCGAAACCACTGCGCTGGGAGCTGCCATGGCAGCAGGAGCTGCAGAAGGAGTCGGCGTCTGGAGTCTCGAACCCGAGGATTTGACAGTCGTCAGGATGGAACGGTTTGAACCACAGATCCAGGCCAAAGAAAGTGAAGTTCGTTTTTCTACGTGGAAGAAAGCCGTGCTGAAGTCGATGGGTTCTGTTCCGTCTCAGTCTACGGAAAGTGGTGACCCTAGTATCTTCTCCAGTCTGCCTTTGGGTTTTTTTATAGTGAGTAGCATGATAATGTTAATTGGAGCAAGATACATCTCGGGTGTACCATAACCACCACCACCACCATGGAGTCCCACGACGTGAGCTTTTTACATACTGAAAGAATCCAGCAATTCTGTCTCTGAATGTGCCGACACTATTATAGACTCTGATTTTATTTATGAAACGCTTTGCTACATGACCCATGAGAATCCTACAAGTAGACTTGTGGCTTGAAATAAAGAAAACACAGTAGAAAAACAACATAGAAACATGTGGTGTGTTTTTTAGCTCTGCATTTAAGGTTGGGCTATCTATCTCGGGGACCACTCCCCTCCATTGTTACAACATTCTGCCCCATCCTTTCTAAATTACAGGATTTCAGATTCTACCCATGAAGTCTTTTATCAAACATATTCTAAACATAAACATACTTATGGACTTAGATTTGGCTCTCTGTGGTGCACACACTTGATTAAGAGCAGTAACTAATCTCCTAAAACTGAAGGAATTTTTGTTATTATTGTTGTTTTACATAGACCCCACAAGTCCTTTCCTCTTCATAGTAGAAAGACCACAACATCTTCACTCAATGTTTAATGGAAATATTTGCTAAATTCTTACAATAAACATTTAGTATTCTCATAGCTTAGTTTCTAAGAAATACCTGCCAAATTGAAATTCTTCAGACATTTTACATGCTTTCACTAATCACAGTGAATTGTCCCATGAGTCCTTTAGGGAGAAGGACCCTTTTACCATTTTTTTTTTTTTAGCATGTCTATACCATAATAGAACAGCTCATTTATAAATTCAGAACACATTATAGCCAGTAGGTTATAAAAGGGATGGTCCTAGGCAGACCACATACGGAAACATTTTAGTATAAAGAGCTATCTACATTTTGGGGCAATATATATACCTATTATTTATCAGGAGAAACTTTAAAAGGCATTATTTAAAATTAATTATATGTTTTATGTTGATACAAAAAGTGTATTATGATTTCAGTAATATTTTTTATAACAACTTTTTATTTAATTGTCTTAGCTGAATGTATGCTCAAAAAAGAAAAAACTATGGAAAACTGCAGTTAAATATTGTTTTCAAGCAGGAAAAGATAAATGATTATTCAAACAAAAATAATAACAATATAGTATGAAGTTTAAGCATGCATAAAAGAGAACAGTAGCAAATAAGGGAATAAATGGAAGTGTAATATTTTGAAATTTATATACAGGAAGTATATAAAGGTATAATATCACTTGAAATACTGATAATTAAAAATATACCCAATAAATTCTAAAATAACAAAAGAAAAAGTTATAATTAGTAACATAGTTAAGTATGTAAGTTTGAACTATAAAAATAGTCAATTCTAAAGAAGGTATATACAAGAGATGAAAAAGGAAGACAGAAAAGTAGAAAATAGTCACACGAAAATATATTTAATCCTAACCATACCAATAAGCACATTAAATGTAAATGGTTTGATTACCCCAATTAAAAAGATTGTCATATTAGATTTTAAAAGCTATCTTCAAGAAATGCATTTCATATATAAAGAAAAAATAGCTTAAAAGTAAAAGAGTAGAAAAAAGATTTAATATTAATCAAAAGAAATATCAGAAAGTAAATTTTAGAGCAAAGAATATTACCAGTAATGAAGAATGTCATTTTGTAAATTCATCAAGAGAACATAACTATCTTAAAAATTTATGTACTTCATGATGGGGCTTCAAAATATATAAAACAAAATCTGATATAATTGAGAGAAAAAGTAGATAAATCTACAATTACAGTAAGAAATTTCAAAATCCCTTCCTCAACAATTGATAGAAAAAGCAACAGGATTTAATAAGATCTAGAAGATTTTAACGATGCTATCAAAAAATTTGCCTTAATTCACATTCATACAACATGTCATCCAGTGACAGGAGAATACATATTCTTTTCAAGTGCATATGAAACATTTGCCAAGCTAGACCATATTCAGGCCATAAACCAAGCCTCAAGAATTAAAAAAAGATTTCATATAAATTGCTATCTGAACACATTGGAATTATAAATCAACAACAAAAAAAAATCTCTGGAAAAATTCCCAATATTTGGAAACTAAATAACAAGCTTTCAGCCATAAGTTAAAGAGATAAAGAGGAAAAACAGAAAGCATTTGGAATTGAATAAAAATGAAAACACAACATCTCAAAATTTGTGAGATATTGTTAAAGCAGTACTTAAGGAGAAATTAGAATTGAAAGCATGTATTAGAAGAGAGAAAAGGTCTTGAATCAATGCTTCCCACTTCTACCTTAAGGAACTAGAAATAGAATAATTAAACATAAAGTAGAAAGAAATAGTAAAAATGAGAGCAGTAATCAATGGTATAGAAAATAGAAAACAATAGTGAAAATCAATATAACCAAAAGTTGGTTCTTTCAGAGTATAAATAAAATTGAAAAACTTTTAGCCACAATGACCAGAAAAAAAAAAAAAAAAGAAGACAAAAATTATCAAGAGAATGACACCATTAGAGGTCCTAAGGGTATTAAAAAGAATACAGAAATATGATGAAAACTTTATACCAGTAAATTTGACAACTTAGATAAAATGAACAAATTCATTGGAAAACACAAACTGCTAAAACTCAAGAAAAAGATAACCTTATCACCCTATATCTCTTAAAAAGATTGAATTTTTAGTTTTAAAACCTTCTTACAAAGAAAACCCCAGACCCAAATGCCTTCAACAGTGACTTCTTAAAACTTGTAAGGAAGAAATAATACCCATTCTACACAAAGTTTTCCAGAAAACTGAAAAGAAGGTAATATTTCAAACTCATTCTATGAGGCCAGGTTTACAGCATTATCCTGATTCCAACACCAGAAAAAAGGACATAAGGAAAAAAACTGTAGATCAATATCCCTCATAAACATAGATGCAAAAATTCTAAACAAAATTTTAGCAAAGTAAATTTAACACTATATGAAAAGAATAATATATCATGCCCAAGTGAGGGAATATATAAAGATAGGATAATGAATTAGTGCAATGAAAAAAATGAATCAATGTACTCCACCATATTAACAACTAAAACAATGATGATCTAGCACCTTTTGCATTATCCTTAATAGAAGTGGAGCCCATTCTACTAAGTAAAGTATCACAAAAATGGAAAAACAAGCACCACATGTGCTCACCGTGGAATTGGTATTAACTGATCAACACTTATGTGCACATATACTAGTAACATTCATCGGGTGTCGGGCAGGTGGGAGGAGGGTGGAGGGGATGGGTATATTCACACCTAATGGGTGCGGTGTGCACCGTCTGGGGGATGGACACGCTTGAAGCTCTGACCCGGGTGGGGCAAAGGCAACATACGTAACCTAAACATTTGTACCCCCGTAATATGCTGAAAATAAAAAAAAATTTTTAAAACTGCATGAGATAGAAGTACACAGTAACCAGAATGCCTAAAATAAGAAGACTAACCATACCAAATGTTGGTTAAGAGGTAGAAGAACTTATCTTTCATATTCTGCTTTTGGAAATGTAAAATGGTACATTTTGGAAAACAAATGTGACAGTTTCTTAAAAAATTAAATATGCATTTTTCATATTATCCTAGGTATTTAGCCAAGAGAAATAAGAACATATATCCATACAAAGACTTGTTCATAGCACTTATTATAGCCAAAAACTGGACAAAACTCAACTGTCTGTCAACAGGTGAAAAGATAAACTATAGCGCATTCATACTATGGAATACGGTTCAGCAACAAAAAGAAGTAACTATCGGTAAAAACTGTAACATGGATGAATTTCAAAGTAATTATTAAGCTGAGTGCAAGAAACCAGACCAAAAACATATGTGTGTATATAGTGTAGGATCCGGTTCATATAAAAATCACAGAAAATGCAAACTATCGTACAGTGACAGAAAGTAGATCAGTAGCTGCTTGGAAACTGGGAGGAGCTGGGGAGGGGGCAGGAGGCAGGATTATAAAAGGGCACAAAGAAAAGTTGAGAGAGGTGAATATATCCATCACATTAATTACGGTGAGGGTTTCCAGGGTAAATACACACGTCAAAATTAATCAAACTGAACACTTTAAATATCTGCAGTCAATCTTACTTTAATAAAACTATTTTTAAAAAGAAAAAAATTATTTTCAAACTCTGGAGGAATATAATAAAAGTCTGCTTAAGTAGCTTAATCTTTTCTCTATTGTGCATACCGACGTAGCCTCACCGATTCTGTAGTCGGCTAGCGTGGGGAGCACAGGTTCCCATCTCTCGCAAGTCTGTGAGCTTTATTTGAAGTCATCTGTGTGATTAGGCTGGAGTAGTGCATGCTAATGTCTAGTATCATTTAAAACAAATTAATTTCTCATTTCATTTATCTGGCTATAACTCGCAGTCTGGGACCTATTGCAAATGACCTCATGAAGAGTTACAAACAAAGACATCATCAGAAAATCAGAGTCAAAGTCCTGAAACTCAGCAGCTCATTCTCCTTCCTGTATACACACTCCTGTGATTATCGCCTTTCCTTTTTTAAAATATCTCTGCCTCTGTGTCATTTTTATAATTTAACTCGCATGATATTGGTAAATTACAGTACTTTGCCCCAAGGCTATCAAGGAGCTTCTGTATATTCTACTACAAAATGAGCTGATTAATAATTTCTCTATATTGCCACTAAGCACAACTACACGGTTAAATTACGATGACGGGGTCTCACTGCATGCATGTTATGAAACAGCGAGTCATCATTTCATGTCAGGCATGCGTGTGAGAGAGCACGAGCTGGAACGCTAACCAGAAGAAAGAAAAGCATCTAATCCGATGCTGTTTTCCAAGGATGCATTTTGTGAATTAGAGCAAGTAAGTAGAGGCTGGGAGGGGAGGAGGCAGGTGGCAGGGATGGGGTACAGGTGGAGAGGAGAGGAGAGGAGAAGAGAAGAGAAAAGAGAAACAGAGAAGACCAAGAAGGGAAAGGAATATTAAAGGTATCTAAAGAGAAACAAGATGCACTATTAAATCTAATTAAAGACGCTCTGTGTGGT